TTGCTTTCGTATCTCACCCACTTTTTGTGATTCTTTGAATTTGGTGGAAGGAATCAGTGTTGAGGGACCTAACTCTAGGCGTTTGAGCAGATAACTGCTGTTCCATCCGCCACCGCGTCGGTCCCGTGGTATCAAATAGATTTAGCAGCTTCCTCGCATATTGACGATTTTCATAATGAACTTTCGCTTCTACCTTTTCCTGCCGCGGTCCTTAAGTGGGTCAGGTTTCTGTGCTCAAGGCTTCGGTTTCGCATACAGTGGTCTCACATCTGATAATATTGGTGCGGATGAAAGTGAACGAAAATATGGTCTGACCCATGAGCATTGCCAGTTACTGCACCCTGCATCGATCTCCTACCATGTTCCTGGCTGTGGAATCTTCGACAAAATAGAAAACAGTGGATCTGAGTGCTCTTGCGTCCACCGTTTGAATACCGGCCGGTGCTGATATTGGTGAACAGTCGGCTCTCTTCAGTAAAGTTCAGTATTCTTACCACTGTCACGCCGAGAGCTGTATTCTAGGCGGCCAATAGGGTGGCTGTTGGAAGGGTCGATGGGGTCGCTGTCGGCCATTCCAGTTCTCGGTACTAATCAGTAGAGGTTCGGTGAGTGTCTTGCAGCTTTATGTTATTTGTCGCGCTGGTCGGTGGCTACTGTTGGTAAATATACGAGGGCGATGTACTTACGTAAGCCAGCTGGTAATGAAGTTGCGTGAGGGCTGTATCAACAGAGTCGCGTCTGCCTATATGGTATACAGTAGTTAGCTCCCAACGTGGGCTGAGCTGAACCTAGACGAAGCCAGTTTGGCTCAGGGAACACGTTTATCAGAGCCCGCATACCACCGTATGGGGAAAGAGGGAGTGGAGTCGTGTAGAAGCATCAATAGACCAGGGCTACGGGAGTTTTTGCTTCCAGCAAACACCTTAGCGTGACTCATGATGTTTCACTTGAACATGCTTGGAGGTTCCTCGGAGATTTAGAATGCAGGCAAATCCGCAAAAGCTGCTCGGATGTTCTTTTTTCAAGGCCGTCTCTTCCAGCTGTCTGACTTTTTGTCCTTTTGACGCTTTTATTCTTTTGCATCCAGTTTTGTGAGAGTGTATAAGCGATGCGGTCTTACTAGCACGCTAAATGTTGTGTAGGTTCTCCTCAACTGGACTGAGTCCCAGGACAGTCATTTGCTCCAGAGCCTTGTTGGTCTAGAACATTGACTAGTTATTCCGCCTTTTAATTAACTTATTTCTCTCTCTTTTAGTTTATGATAGCAAGGCAGACGTGTACAGTTGGGCCATTACCTTCTGGGAAATACTCGCGCGCCGGTTTCCTTCTCCGCCAAACGAGCCCTTTATAATAACTGTTAAAAATATAGTCGTGGAAAAACGGCGTCCTCCCACACTCTCCGAATGCCCATCTGTATTACAAGCTCTTTTATCAAGGTGGGTGACTGCTAGAAAGCATCGTAGGTCTAACGTGTAAAGGCTTGCCAGTTTCCGACAGCACCCTTTTACTTTCCTTATATCTGTTGCCTTGTTGTACCCCACAACTGACAGAAGAAAAAGAAAACAGATTGGATGTGTGCTCTGCCCTACAGGCTAAATGTCCAATTCGGCCCGTCCCAACAGCGCATTTAACGCCATCTAGAATATTGTGAATAGTCGAAAAGATGCGAGGCCCAGGTAATTGAATAGAAGACGGGAAAGCGTCCTGTGCGACCAGTGGCAGAGCTGAGCTAAATATGCAGTGAGCTGTATACTTGTTTATTCCTTGACAAGTGGCTGGCTTGAGAGTTCGAAACTTAGGGGAAACAAACAACTGGTCCCAGCGAACCCTTTCCTGTATCCAATCCAGAATATATGTATAGATCTGATTTTCCGCGGAATTCATAATTTTCAACAGTAGTGTTACCTCCTTCATTTTTTTTCAGTGCATGGTCTGAGGACCCAGAGGCTCGACCCAACATGTCTGAGATAGCAGCTTTTCTACAGTTTGTGGAGGACAGTCTGATCAGCAGTGGACTCCTTCCCTCTCCGATGGCCATCGAGGCGCTCTCCAGCCGGCGTCTTACCGGGAATACCGACGCAAATGATGATCTTGTCTGGGAAGGAGAGGAAGAGGAGCAGCAGAATACGTGTGTTGACGGTGAGGGGAATGTCTCCGAATGGGATTTCTGCGCCAGCAGGCAGGTCAGTTTTCTAGCCTACGAGCTTGCATTCTGCTTTTTTTACCTATTACGCTCGTCAAGTATCTCGTTATTGATCCAAAACAATACATGCTACTATAACATAGTTTAGTAGAATGAGGTACTGACATCCCGATAAAGTTGCATATTCCGCTGAAGGAGTTGGGAGCGACCGCTTCTTCGTTGGTATATTCAATTTAGTTGCTCAAACTTACGATTCACCGAGGTGAAGCAGTTTGTTCTGTTAAGGAGGCTGAAAATAATGAGTAAAAGGGAAGGCATTTCGCTAGGCTTTCTCAAGACAATTCTGCTGATTAATTAACTTGTAGTTTGTGCCGTCGAAGTGAGTTGGCATGTGTGACAGACGTCTCGTTTTTTCTACTGTGTCCTCTTGTAATAAAGACGAGAACCGGGAGCCCAACTGATAGAATACCGTCTTCCCTTTCCGTTTTCCTTCTCAGCCTTCTGAGGAATTAGTTGTCTGTGAACCGGAATGTTCTGCCCTTCCGGCGCCAACGAATTTTGGCGAGTTGAACATTGTGTGCGATGCAGATCAGTGAACTCGGCACTTCTGCGTTGGTACGCTAGTGTTAACCAGTGAGTTTCCTCTGTTACTATCTATCCAACCAATCTAACAGTTTTTCATACCGTTTCTTTTTGCTGCTGCTGTTATCGAAGTCGACGTCCCCTCACCCTACCGCCAACACAACTGTTGGGATCGCCACCAGTTCAGTTCAGTTTTATTAGGGAAATATAGGTAAATACCTTCGAACTCCC